CTAGCAACGAGTGATTAGATGCATCTACATACCTTTGTAGATCGCGAGCGGAAGCGTTCAAAAGAACGGTGATGATGTAGTCGTACTCGACGTGATCCAAATCACCGATGACCAGCGCCGAACGGACGGCACCTCTGCGTTCAACACACGTACGGAACAGCCACGTCTCCTCCTTCTTGATCCAGCAAGGGAGGGAGGAGAGGTTGAGGGAGATGGCACCAGCAGCAGCACGACGGCGTGGTGTTGATGGAGCTGCAGTACTCCGGCAGAGCTTCGCTAAGCACTATGGAGGTGGAGGAGGTGTTGGGGAGGGAGAAGGAGGCAACCAAAGGCCAAGGCGTTCAGGTATGAAGTCCCTCCTCTCCCCCACTATATATAGGAGGGCCAAGGGGGGGTGGCCGGCCCTAGGAGATCCAATCTCCTAGGGGGTGCGGCGGCCAAGGGGGGTTTCCCTCCCCCCCAAGGCACCTAGGAGGTGCCTTCCCCTCCTAGGACTCTTCCCCCCTCAAACCCTAGGCGCATGGGCCTATGTGGGGCTGGTGCCCTTGGCCCATGTAGGCCAAGGCGCACCCCCTACAGCCCATGTGGCCCCCCGGGACAGGTGGACCCACCCGGTGGACCCCCGGGACCCTTTCCGGTGGTCCCGGTACAATACCGATAACCCCGAAACTTGTCCCGATGCCCGAAACAGGACTTCCCATATATAAATCTTTACCTCCGGACCATTCCGGAACTCCTCGTGACGTCCGGGATCTCATCCGGGACTCCGAACAACATTCGGGTTACTGCATATACATATCCCTACAACCCTAGCGTAACTGAACCTTAAGTGTGTAGACCCTACGGGTTCGGGAGACAAGCAGACATGACCGAGACGACTCTCCGGTCAATAACCAACAGCGGGATCTGGATACCCATGTTGGCCCCCACATGCTCCACGACGATCTCATCGAATGAACCACGATGTCGAGGATTCTATCAACCCCGTACGCTATTCCCTTTGTCTATCGATATGTTACTTGCCCGAGATTCGATCGTCGGTATCCCAATACCTCGTTCAATCTCGTTACCGGCAAGTCACTTTACTCGTACCATAATGCATGATCCCGTGACCAGACACTTGGTCACTCTGAGCTCATTATGATGATGCATTACCGAGTGGGCCCAGTGATACCTCTCCGTCATACGGAGTGACAAATCCCAGTCTTGATCCATGTCACCCAACAGACACTTTCGTAGATACCCGTAGTCTACCTTTATAGTCACCCAGTTACGTTGTGACGTTTGGCATACCCAAAGCACTCCTACGGTATCCGGGAGTTACACGATCTCATGGTCTAAGGAAAAGATACTTGACATTGGAAAACTCTAGCAAACGAACTATACGATCTTGTGCTATGTTTAGTATTGGGTCTTGTCCATCACATCATTCTCCTAATGATGTGATCTCGTTATCAATGACATCCAGTGTCCATAGTCAGGAAACCATGACTATCTATTGATCAACGAGCTAGTCAACTAGAGGCTCACTAGGGACATGTTGATGTCTGTTATTCACACATGTATTACGATTTTCGGATAACACAATTATAGCATGAATAAAGACAATTATCATGAACAAGGAAATATAATAATAATGCTTTTATTATTGCCTCTAGGGCATATTTCCAACAGGGCCGATGTCACCAACGGTGGTCGGAGTAGACGAAGTGGTCGGGGTAGATTACGGCGACGCTGGCAACAGGCTGGTGCTTGTACGAAGACTAAGGGGGTGGACGGGCGGCGGCTACGAAGGTAGAGGCAGCGACATCCAAAGAAGAGCGGCGGCGGCAGCTAGGTTAGGAGTGCGGCGGCGGTGCTCGAAGTAGGCGAAGAACCCTGACAGTGTGACGAAGACCGGCGTAGACGGTGGCGTTCCCGCGCCAAGGGAGATGGCTCAGCGCATACCACGGGAGGTCGACGCGCAGTGACGGCGGAGTGGACCGCGGGCCGCGGTGCTACGGCCCGAAGGGGCGACGTAGCGGCGGCAGGCGGGTCGGGGCGACGGCGGGAAGACCTCGGGGCGGCGGCGGGGACCGCGTATCGCGGCACTACGGCCTGAAGGGGCGACGCGGCGGCGATGCATGAGTCGATGCAGCCGCGAGGAGAACCACGGGGCGGCGGTGCTGCGGCCCGATGGAGCGACGCAGCGGCAGCCCGAAGCTTGATTGACAGAGAGGCACGCGGTACTCGGGACGATCTTCACGGGACCTACGGAGGCGCACGTCACCAACGGGGCCTGAGATGAGGTAGCCGACGAGTCTGACACAGTCAGCCCGACGCAGTCGAGGACGAGGCCGGTGAGGTAGACCGTCGGACCGCCGTGCAGACACGACGGAGGCGGGTGACGTGGATCGATGGGCGGGCCGGCGCGCTAGCGACGACTATGATTGGCCGTCACATGGCGCGAGGCCACCGGGTCGGGACGATGCAGGTGTCCCGATCGGAGCAGGGCGGTGGCGGCCGACGCAGGGCGACGGGCAGACCAACACGCGGACGACAGCTGGCCTGGACAGGCCGCCTTGGCGCGCGTGGCCGCCGGGTCGGAGGAGAGGCCGACTGGTCGCGCCGGGGTCGGAGTAGAGGCGCACGGGAGTCGACGGCGGTGCAGGCGACGCAAACCGATCAAGATTAGATCAGAAAACCAGAAAGAAAAACGCCGATCAAAACGACCGCGAGAGAGCGAAAAAACCCGGAGCAAGGGCTCGGGAAAAAGATTCTCTAAGGCAGCCAGCCAACACGGTCGGCGGACGAACCCTAGGTACGGCGGCGCGGCCCCTGGCGGTGGTCATGAAGACCGACCGCCATGGGGGCGGCGCGCGGGTGCGGAAGCGGCGGCTACTAAGGTTTGAATTGTGATTAGGCTAATACCATGTTAGAAAGGAAAAAAGAGATTTGATAGAATAGTTGTTTTATTGCTTGAGCTCCGTGGGCATGTATATAGAAGTACATGATCTATTTGAAGTACGAGGCAAGCCAGAATATTTCCTAGTCTAACCTATGTTTTTTAATACAATCACGTTTACTCAACAATAAGTGATAGCCCTTCCTTTCAGTGTTGCCAAAATAAATATATTCATAAGTGACTGATAAAACCATCTCTCTCTGAATTTCGATTCAAACTGCAGCACTTCCCACCATTGTGTCATCTAACACGAGTTTGGACCGGGTTCAGTACATGGGGTTCACGAAAGGTACACTGCACATCTGTGCCTGTTCAGAAACCTTTTACCCATATTTCCAAGATAATCTTTCTACTTTTTCTTGAATTCATTCTTCAGGTCGTCCGGAAGAAACTGCCGGATGCTTTTCAAGAGTTCATCCACGAAAGAAATGAGATATTTTGATTAATGATAAGGCTATTTAGTTTTTTGTAATTTGTACACAAACGCCAACTCCCACACATCCTACCTACAGGACTTGAAAAGGGCAAAGAGCTTGAGCTTGGTCTAATCACAGCGGCTGCTAGCATTTCATCAACCACTTTTCGATGGCTGCCTTTTGATCGTGCGAGTATCCAGGTCTGAGGATGTGCACCAGTACCACTCACGATGTGTGGAACAATGGTTCCAATTGAGACGCTCATCGACCCCTGATTTGATGCAGCAACCTATTTTGGTGTTGCTTGTGTCGCCAAGGATCTGTTCTTGCGGTTTCATGTGTGTTATGCTATCCAACTAAATCTCAGAGCTGCCCATGCCGTTTATCTGGTTGTAATGTGTCGGCTATATAGTATTTTTCTTCCGAAACGAAGGTAAAAGATTTACCTCATCGATTAATTTTAAAAAAGAATTACTCAGTTAATTAACAGAAAACCGAGCGAAAATTGATACAAACCCTTCACATGTGGACTACTCACGGAGCATGCAACCCCATAAACACATGATCAACCCTAACACGCAACGACCACCAACCCTCACACTGCTACATCGTAAAGAAATCCCTCAATGAGAGTACCTCGCTGAGGACCACGGACACCACCAAAATGCACGAAGTCATATAGCAGCTGTTGTGGATTCCTTTCCGGTGGCACCACTCTTCTTTGTTTACTCCTAAGAGCATCTACAGCCGGACTTGGCAAATCCGGCCCCTCAAACGCCCGCGGACGCGTGTCCGATGGCACTGATCGGACAACCCTTGAATGTTGCGCCGCACATCCACATAACGCAAATTCCGATTCTAAAATCCATGCACGTTGATCATACGATACAAATTGTCGAAATTCCAAAGTTCGAAACAAAGCAAAGCAAATAATAGTTCAACAAACCAGACATGCCAAAATGAAATCAATGTCCGAGCGTGACAGATGGCTTTGGATGGAAGCGGTGCGGGGATCCGGGCGCGGCGGAGGAGACATCTGCTCCACCATGTCCGAACCTCCCTGCGACGCCGCCATTGCCTCCCTCTCTCGCTGCTGACGCCGCCGCAACTTCCGGCGATGTTCTCCGCCTTGCAAGTCGCAGCTGACTAAGTGACCCTGCCGACGGACGAGGCGGACGGCATCTTCGTCGCGGCGGTGTGGGTCGGGCTGGACGACATCTCTAGCCGTGGATCGGGACCGGTGGTGAGGATTGGGAGCAAGGGTGGAGGACAGCGAGGGTCCGGGCGTAGGAAAGGTTGGAGGGCGGCGGGAGGAGGAGGAAGAGTTTGGTGGATTTGATGCAATTTGAGGTGAGGTCAGGCTGTCGGGTCTGACATGGCGGGCGTGCCCGGATGCCCCCATATCCGCCCCATATTTGGGTTGGATATGGGGGTGCCGGTTAGCCTGGGCGTTTGAGGCCCGTTTAAGAAACCCGTCTGGGTCAAAAAAGTGACCGAACAGTAACCGAGCGGCCCGCCTGGGCGTATGAGGCGGGTTTGAGGCGTCCGGTTGTAGATGCTCTAAGAGCCTCCCCTACAATCGTCTTGCTGGATCCAATGCTAGCCTTCTCCAAACATGCGAGCAAGCTGTGAAGCTTAATCTAGAAGAGAACCTCATCGACCTTGTCACGCAGAGACACCATCTTCCTCATGGCCACGTGCGAGTCGGTGACCGCAATGTTAGAATCTCCACGGTCCACAAAGGCAAGCGGCAGACTGGGCACCAAAGGATCAGGCGCTAACATACCGACCGCCTCAACGTCATCAGCCACAGATACCACTGACACAATGGACTCAGACGCCTCCGGTTGCTCACATGACATAGGCGAGTCATGTCCCTCACACAAGGTCACTCACGAGTTGACCTCCATATGCTCCACAGATAGAGGCGAAGCAGGTCTCACACAAACCTGTTGAAGCTCGGGCATGATCTGCAACACAGGGGTGACGATCGTGGTGATGGTATCGCCCTCGGCAGTAGTCGACATAGGGGCACGACAGACGAAGAACTAATCCCAACACGAGGGGAGAAACAACCAAAGAGTCTTGTCCCCTTCTCTTCCGTGAAACCAACACCAGAAAACAACAGGAGGACGCGACTTTGGAGCAGCCGGAAACATAGCCTGCACAAGGGGGAGCTTGCCCAGAGCAACCTCTATCCTCTCTAGAAAGCTCCCAACACGCGCCAACAAGCCTTGCAGCAAGTTGGACTGGTCTGTTAGAGCAAACTGCAACTCCATATCAGACGAGGCAGCTGTTAGAGCAGACTGCAACTCCATATCAGACGGGGCAGCCGAACCAGTGATAAGAGGTGACAGACACCCAGGACCCATAACAAGGCGCCTCAGAGAGAAGCGCGGACTTCATCGGACCTTTATGGGAAGCTGACGCTTGATGATGCTCGATGCCGAGGCACGGCACGACAAGGCATGCCAGCGAGCTGAGTGGACGTCAGGGGTTGCGGCGCTCACGCGCAAGCTGACCGTTCTCCAAATAGCGGGAGCATCGAAGGGGACCTCTGCAAACAGCACCACGGTGCCCAGAAGCAAGACGTGTAAAGCATCTGCCACGAAGCCAAACGAGCAGCCAATGTCAGGGCCGGCGATGCCGGACGCCTTGGCAGCACGTCCGGCCATCCCCTCTTGTGTCTGGCCCGTGCGCCAGGCACACCTCGGCGGAGTTGGGACTTGGGAGTCGATGGCAGCCGGCGGAGTCTGGGGGCCATCTCCTCATTGTCGTCCCTGTCATCGTCTTCATAAGAAGCAGAAGCCCACGACACATAATGCGGCCGGTGGGTCAGCTCGTCTGCACAGGGAGCAGGGGCATCAGCCGAGGCCAGCGGCGTCCGCAGCGCCATCTCCACATCTTCATCCTCATCGAAGCTTCGAGACCATGCGATCCCGCGGCAGAAGCGGCCGGCAGAGCCGGAGCAGCAGGCTTGCCTGGAGGCACCTCCATGGAGACGCCGCCAACTACCAGCGCAGCAGACGAGGATGGCTGCGGAACAGGGAGGTGGCCAGCTCGGGAGAAACGGCCACCAGAATACAAACAGTACTTGCCTGCTTCCTTTTCCCCTGATAAACCTTGCACCATTAATCTACACTTGTACAGAGATGAAAATGCATGATGCAAAACAAATGGGATAACACCTTCACTTCTGAGACAGCCTACATACAGACAAGGCGATGAACCTGCATCGTCATACAAGGAATACAAACAAGTACTTAACTCGCATCTCAAACCATCTTTCCCGGAGGACCTTCTTCAAAAATGGGCCAAAGAAGAATATCAAATATACAACCAGAGTATTTTCCCTATCTTCTTCAGAAATGGGCGGAAGAAGAATATCAAATATACAACCAGAGTCTTTTCCCTATCGGACTACTTAGGGAGGAAAAGGCGCGCTCCAAGATCAGCATTACACAGACATCAGTGGTTTCGTGTGAGAAAAATCTTCACCTTATGTACAATTCCACTTGAGGCTCCTTTGATTCACAGGGTTTGAGAAGTGTAGGAATAGGAAACATACAGGAACAGGATGTACTGTCAACTGAAATCCTACGTCGGGTAGCAAAACAGAGGATTTTTTCCATGAAGTCCAACCTCATGCTTGTTTTCCTGTGAAAATGAACTAAGAAGTTCCTATAGGATTGGTTCCTGAGGAATGCAATCCAGTGAATCAAACAGCACGTAAAGGAAAACTTCTAGAGGGTGTCAATCCTGTAAAATTCCTATGCAAATCCTATGAATCAAAGGAGGCCTGATAGTCTAATCTATGGATACTAAGGAGAAAGGGAAGGACAAGTAGGCTGTCCAGTTCCTCCTTCAAATATTGTGTCCACCACCAGCTCCAAACTCTCTGCGCTATATATCTCTTCTGCTGAACCTCCCCACAAACACAAACAACCAGACGGCCCAGTATCTGGATACTTCACCAAGAAAGCTCTGTATGTTGGTAAAATATGCCCCTTTATACGGACTCTTAGAGTTTCCCGTAGAGCAGGATCAGGAACCACCCAAGTTTTCTGATGATCAAAAATCCCATTGAATGTTGAGGTAAATTTAACCAAGGATGAATGCCGACTAACCCACCAAGACTTGCAACTCAGAAAATATAAGGCTGGCTTCCAAGCATCTACCAGGTAACCCTGGATCCAGATATCTGTGAGTAATTTGAAATAATCAGGATAAGGAAAATCAAGATGCTGCAGAGGCAGCAAATCATCTAACAGAACATTTGTCTTCCCCTTTAAATGACTCATGTTGTTCAGCATGAAAATGTTCTTCCGCCGACTATCTGACATCGGATGTTTCTCGAGTGCAGATATCCACCTTCCAATCACGCCAGACAGAAGATTTCCAAACGAGTGGCTGTCATCATCAGGAGCAAAAGATTGCACTAACTGTTTGTGACTATGGATAATCTTCACTGAGTCTACCAGGGAACATGTCACTGAGTGAATGGCACCACCCTGAGGATCCCCCATACTGCCAACTATTTTCCTGAAAGACTCCCAGATGTTACTTTTAATCTCGGGTAAGAGATCATCAGATTCACTGGGAATTAATTTTTGGATAAGAGGAACAACATCCATAACTGCCTCATATGCAAGCATCATTGGACAAATATCAGTGACAGACCACTCCATCTTGCTGAGAAGAAGTGCAATTTTCACGAGAATTTCTATAGGGTGTTTTGCAAACTGTGCAAAGTAGCCTATCTTAAATTCCCTAAATGGTCTACTCTCGTCATATAACTGCCCTTTAATCAAACAGAGCAATTCTGTGTATGTTTTCAACCTGATGGGAAAATCTTCACATTCAGGACTAATACTGGTCAACCGAATTTCCAGTTCATTGAAAAGGCTGTTTAATAGGCAGGATTAAATATGAGTAGAGAAAAATCACATATGATATATGAAACAGAAGAAGAGACAGTATTCTGACAACTAAATACAGGGGATACCCCGAGCTTCATTAAGAAAAGTTAATACTTCATTACAAGGAATTGAACAGAACATCTGCCTTACTAAAGAACTGGGAGCAGAAGAAAGTTTATCTTGGGAAACTTAACTCTACTTGGGCTGTTACTATTTCAGAAAAGCTGTGTTGTACAATGCTGGTCGCGGTCTATTACATCTCTGTACTGAAAAAAATTTTGAACTTTTAACTATTTGCCACTCCAAAACAAATATAAGATGCTATTCAGGTCTGAACCACAATAAGAGGCATACTATTTTGATGCTTATGTTGTAATACTCCCTCTTTAAGTAAATATAAGACATTTTTGCTGTTCCATTTGAACTGCAAAAACGTCTTGTATTTAGATACGGAGGGAGCAATGAATAAGGAGAAGGAATACTTGATGCTGATAGCCTTGGATATAAACAAGTGAATTTACCTGGTCAACGCATCTGTGCTGTGTGGGAGGTGTTGGAGTAGCTCTTCCTCGTAACCAGGACCAACAGCCACTGTGTGGTGGCGTACAATGTCTTCTAGTTGGGCCATATGGTCAGGTAAGATACATTCAAGACCCTCAGTTTCCATATACATATGTGATCGATAATGAAGCTGCCGCTTGTCGGTTAGGGGGAGGGGATTGGCCCGGTTGGAAAAATGAAGGTGCCACTCTGGAACATCACCATCATCAGACGATGGATAACTGTCGTGGCTTCTCCTTTCAGCTGAGACACAGCACGTCGTGTCTGCCTGCTTTGAGTGGGGGTGCTGCTCAATGGACCGGTGCAGTTTTCTGGTAACTTGAGACAGACGATCCACGTCACATAATCTGAATGTTTCCTCCGCAACCACAACCACATGGTTCTGTTGAGCTGTCTGGAAAACATGTGCAGGCATTGCAAGTACATTGCCCATATTTCCCCGGCAGCTCGAACCTGGTTGTTGACTTGGCTTTAGTAAACCTGGCACCAAAGGACATAAACAAACAAACATTTTTAGATCAAAGGCAGCAACAAAGATGTTACTGACAGCAGCAGGAGCAGCAGAAAGGATAATCCACGCACGGGTATCAGGTCAGGATGACGCTTTGTAGTAGACAGTCCGGAATCACGCACAGCGGACACGGGCCAAAAGGCGATTCCCCCCTAAAGCAGCGGCGAGCTGATCCTGTCAAAATTGAGAGCAAAACCTTACGAAATGCGAACCAAGCGACCCGGACAGCGGGGAGCGGATCCAGGCGGAACCCGCGCTCCACAAAAGGGCTAAACCCCAGCCCGCCCCGCGAACGAAAAGAAAAAAAGGCCGGCCAAACCCCAGGAAGGGGACGACGATGACGAGGGAGGGGCGGAATCTAAACAGAAGCCGCCCGCAATTCCCCCCGAGCAGACCTGAATCCCGGGAGAGGACTCGCGAAGGAGGAGGAGGAGGAGGAGGAGGAGGGCGGCGCACCTTGGGATCGGTTCTCCCGGTCGCATTCGCCGCAGATTTCGACCTCGTTGGGGGAGCGGACGAAAAGGGAAGCAAGCAAAGCAAAGCGCCCCGGAGAGGAAGAGCAAGGTGTAGCGACTCCCTGGGGCCCCACTCGGCAGTGGCTCAAAAAGGAAGTTTCTCGGAAGCTGCGCCGTGGGACTGCGCGTTTTTGAGTATTTTGTTTGTATTATTATGTTTGATTCAAGGGGAAAATCTCTCCCTCAAACGGGCGTGGCGTCGGATGCTCGGCCTCAGCTGCTACTTAAAACCTTATCATCCCCGGAGGGGCTCCGAAACGTACCCCTCACTCCGGGGCCGGCGTCGCAGCTGCTCAAACAAGAAGAAACTTCTAGGAAGCTGCCGCTGCGGGCGTCGGCTTTAAGCCGATTTTAGAGCATCTCAACGGTACCTCCCAAACCGGCCTCATATGTCCGGATGATCCGTCCGCTCACTGATCAATCACAATTTTTTGGTCTAGACGGTTTTCTCAAACGAGTCTTAGATGTCCAGACTGACCGGAACCCTTCATATCCAATCCAAATATGGGGGCCGTTATTGAGCGTACGGCCACACCCGCCACGTCGGACCGGGCCCATGTTGGCCTACCCGACCCCATATATATTCCTTCCGATCCGTTCGCCGGATCAAATCCTATCCACTTCGCTTCACTCCTCTCCGCCATCCAAACTCGTCTTCGGTGCCATCTGGATGTCTCCGGCATGGCGCGCAGCGGATCCAGGTCCTTCACCTCCATATTCATCGACCCTGAGCTCATCCCACAAGGCTCCGAGGAGGAGATGGTTGTCCGGCTTGCGCTCCGTCGCTCCCCAGAGGAGGCCTGTGCCCGGCAGCGCTCGGACTCCTTCCGTCGAGAATCCATTGCGTCCACCCAAAATGGCGCATGGATCCAACACTAGGTCTGTCTTTGCTGCCTCGTCGGAGGCGGTGATGTCCGTCCGACGTCCGAACGCGGTGGCGGACGCGCAACCCCTTCGCTGACGCCGAGCATCGTGGACACCATGGGCCTCGTCCGACAAGAACATGGCACGGCGCGCGAGAGGCGGCAGCACTCCTCGCGGCTGTGGATGTCGGCAAGGCGGAGTTGGATTCTCCGGCGCCCCGTACGGTGCATCAGTCAGGACGCCGCAACCGTGTCGTGGTGGACGATGCTAGCTCATTTTAGGATGGATCTATCATCGATCTGACATCCACCGGCGCCCAACAGGTTACGGGCTCCGATAAGGAAGAGTGGGGCATGGGAGACGGCGGCGCCTCGAGTCCTGTGAGTCGGCTTGTGTCCCATGCCCCTACTCTACCTTGTCGGCGCCCGGGCCAACACTCTGGGGAGCATAGCCGGCCGCCGGACATGGCTAAGGCGGCCGAATGAGCTCTGCTCGCAAAAAACGCTATGTTACATGTAATAACATGGATTTAAGATTTCTAATTCAAGATATCCGGATATGGATTACATTATTTGAGGGGTGCCGGGTCAGTGCCCGCAGACACACCCGGACATGTGCGCGGGCATTTGAGACGCCGGATTTGTAAAGTCCGGTTGTAGATGCTCTTACTTCTTCTTTTTTCTACTAGTAGTGAGGGATCTAGCACAAAGATATGCTCCGCCTCGGGATGCATGGAAAGTACGCTCCTCCGGCAGCTTGTGCTCGACACCGTCTTTGCACAGGGAATGGCAGGGAAGGGAAGAAGAACGATGTGGTTGCCACGAACGGCTACTAGACCCACCGACACCGTCGCGCCGGCGACGACAACCCCCTCCTGAAGGCGAACAACACTTTTCCTTCCTGAGTCGTGGCCGGTCAGTGCCGAGCACACCGCGGACGTGGCTCACTCCTCACCTCATATCCACTTCTCCACTCGTTGTTCTGCCTGCTTCCAGCAGGGGAGGGGAAAACTGTTCGAGAAAATGCCCGAACCAATCCATGCACTGGAATTTGGCCACTGCCGTTCTTTCAGGATAACGAGAAATTACCTGTTTTTTGTCTTTATTAGAATGTTGAGTATTTCTTGGCGGAAATCTAATTCGGCTCTTGGGAGTATATGCTCCTGCCCATCAATTTTTTTTTCCAAATGTAAAAAAATAGATGTCTTCATTGTCACACCAAAAAGCTACCTAGAAATTTTAAAGAGGAAAGCTTAAGCATTTTGATCTCTGTAAAAAAAACAAGTTGAACAACAAATGTTATATTTACTTTCTTTTATTTTTCACCGCCGAAGAACTATCATCCCGTTTCACATGAAATTTTTTGACGGATTTAATGCAACGGATTTTGATCTGTGCGAAGCTCTGGCTCTCCTGACGGATTTAATGCAAACCTGAGTTGTGGTTGCATCTGATTGCAAAGAAGTTGTTACAAGCATACAAGAAGGAACCGGAGGGAAGTATGGTCACATTATCAGAGACATCAAATTATGGTATCGGAGTTCCAGGAGTGCTCTTTCACTTTCGAAGGAAGGGCATCAAATGTCGAGGCACCTAGCCTCGCTAAACATGCACTTCGATTATCTACAGCCCTCCATTTGTGGCTTTTTGCAACCTCCTATCAATTATATTCCTCTATAACATTATTGAGTAATAAAGCATGTGTTTTAGCTTAAAGAAAACTTGCTAGGTCAAGAAGAGGCCGTAAAACTTACATAATCCTCCATAGATGTAGCATTGTTTGTATTTAGCCCCTCATGCTTTGTGAATCTATTTGCAATCATTTTGACTACTTGTTCCTGTTTGATTATTACTAGAGTATTTTTAAAATTCTATGTAGTTGTTGTCTTTTGCAGGGTATTCTATGTAGTTGATGAAATATACTAAAACTAATGTTTCGTTATGCTTATAGTGGAACCTAGCTTCCAACTTTTGGGAGGCCACGTCGGTGGGGCTCTAGCATGCTCAGGGTGGTTCGGAGAATCTCTCATGGGCGGTTAGAGTGAGCGCCATGAGCAGAGGGATGGCTTTGACCGAGGCGGTCGACACCGCCATGGTTGCGCTACCCATGGTTCATGGAGGCGGCGATGGCGCTTCCCACGCCCATCTACCCCCACCGTCCTCCCCATCATGTTCTTGCATTTCCACCGACACCTCTAAAAATTGCTCTGTTGACACGATTCGAACACCGAGTACTTTCGACAACGGCGACATGCGACAACAATGACGACCACCACCACCACAAACAAAGCGAAGCCGACTTCTCTAATCAATCTACTCGTAATATGAAGCTAACCAATATTATGAACATTTTCTTGAAATTCCCCATTTTTTTAGGAATTTGCTAACAAATTTTTAAACATGAACAACTTTTGAATTTATAAATGTTATTGAAAACAAGAACATATTTTGGAATTCCCCAAATATTTCTGTAATTTGAGAATACCTTTTGATTTCTAAAAACATAAAAACGAAGAATTTTTTTAAAATTTCCCAACAATTTTTCTGAAAATTATTTTTATTTTCAAATATTATAAAAGAAGTAATTAATTTTTAAAATATCAGAATAATTTGAAAATAGGAATATTTCTTAAAATTTGTTACAAAATCTGGAAAATGCAAAAAATATATATTTTTCCAAACATTTTTTAAAAAGAAAAAACCTTGAAGAAAAAAAGAAACAGAAAAAAAAGAAAATATATCAAAAAAGAAACAACACAGGAAAAAACCGGTTCAAGGACCGGTTGGCCGCATTGTGGAAATGTGGAAGTGAGCCGGCCCATGTATCGTCGCTCATATCCCAAGTCTGTGCTAATCCCCGATAGTTTGCCCAAGTGAGCGGCAAAGACGGCGCCACGCACATGTGTTTATTGTGAAGATGATGTTGGATATGCATGCTATTTGTTACCTGGATTTATTTCCAAATACTCTTTTGATAATTGATAGTCACTCATGTGTGGTGGAAATTATTAATCATCTTTACACTGGCTTTTGCTTTTATTTGCAGCCCGACTGGGAAGGCCCATTGCCCCTTAGCGACCGCTTTATTGTAGTGAAACAGTATTTTCACATTATTTATTTTACTGTATGTTTTTTGTTTATTTTTCATTTTTCCCTTTTTGATTCTTTTTCTTTTTCAAAAATTATCGCGCTTTTAAAATTTTGTTCAAATTTACAAAAAATTTGCTTTTTCAAACCTTTGTTCATTAAATACAGATATATGTATTTTTGAAAATTATACAGTAATTTCAAAAAATTGTTTGGGTCTTTAAAAATTTCTCAGAATGTCAAAAGACAGACATTTTTTTAAAGAGCAAACAAAACTTTGGACACTAACATTTTTTGAGTAATTCAAACATTTTTTTTGGAAAACACTAATTTTTTTGGAATTTCAAAATAGATTCAATAAAATACAAATAAAAATTAGGGTCATTATAAGAAAGTCCAAAAATAGACCATGTTCAACGGAGGGTCTCCGAGTGGCTAGAAGGCTCTGTCCTCATCTGAGAGCACATTGTTTCTGGCCATCCTTGAAATGACTCTATTTTTTTTCATGGCCTTGTATGAACAATTCAAGACACCACGCCAAGTTGTTTTCGTTTTCCACATGTTTTACATTTTCTGGAGCTTTCTCGGGTGAAAAAAGGGTGATAAATGAGTAAATGACTAGACATGTCGCAACATGCATACGGTGTGGGAAGTCGCTCAAAACTGGCATGGATACCTACCATGGGGCATGAAAACATGTTTGCAAAAGTTAGGATCAATTGAAGGATGTCTAAAAATAGATCATGTTCGACGGAGGGTGTTCGGATGGGCCAAAAGCGTCCATCTAGAGCACATTGCTTTTGACATCCTTGAAATGATCCTATTTTTTCATGGCCTTGTATGACCAATTCAAGGCACCATGTCAAGTTGTTTTGGTTTTCGACAGGTTTTGCATTTTTTGTAATTTTCTCGGTTAAAAAGGCCAATAAATGGCCGGATGTGTCGCAACATGCATTACGGTGTCGCAAATCATTCAAACCCAACATGGGTGCCGACCATGGTCATATCCACTTGCTTGCAAAAATTAAGGTCATTTCAAGGATATCTAAAAATAGACCATATTCAATGGAGAATGTTCAGGTGGGCTAGAAGAATCTGTTTGAAAGCACGTTGTTTTGAAAATCTGTCAAATGGCCCCAACTTTTTTTCACCAACCTGTATGACCAATGTGACGCAATGGGTCAAGTTGTTTGTATTTTTGACAAGTATTACATTTTCTGGAGTTTTTTAGGTGAAAAAAGGCCAACAAATTGTCAAACGTGTCGCAACGCGCATACGTTTCAGGAGTCGTTCAAGCGAGGCATGGATGCCTAACATGGGCACGCCCACCTGATTATAAAAGTTAGGGCCGGTCCTGAGATTTTTGGAAAAAAAATACTATGTTCAATCGAGATTGTTCGGACAGGTCAGAAAGGTCCGTTTGGGAGCATCTTGTTTCTTGGCATCCCATAAATGGCCCAAATTCTATTTCATGGCCTTGTGTGACCAATTCATGCCAAGTTGTTTGTGTTTTCATGATTTTGGAAGGAAATTCATGAATTATACAAAAATGAAAAAGGAAGAGAAAGAGAAATAAAAACAGGAGAAAAAGCCGGCCAAACCAAAAACCAAAGAATAAGGTGATGTGTATTTTTTAGCACTGAATTGAAGAAGGAAAAAAAAAAGTAAACTAGCCGCATCGAGTAAGATGTCCCGGAGCGGAGGGAGTATGTGCGCTGAATAAGATCGGGCAGGACATATGTCAATTCCTATTTGTCGCCCGCAGCGCAACCACTTGGACGGGGCCCGTTACAGGGTTCGCGCGGTTGTTTCATCCACTCCTTTTTCTTTCAGTTTTTTTTCTTCTTTCTTCTTTCATGTTTTAGTTCTTTGTCTAAAAATAATGTCTTGGG